CATATCGGGAAAAATAACCCCAACTATATGTACAGTATGATGGGGGCTAATTTGGCTACGACAAATCAGGATAGAGGTCTTGGAGTTATCGTGGACAGTCCTCTGAAAACTTCCACACAGTGTGCAGCGGCGGTCAAAAAGGCAAATAGGATGCTAGGAATTAAGAAAAGGACAGAAAATAAGACACACAATATCTTACTGCCTCTGTATAAAACTATGGTACGCTGACATCTTGAATGCTGTGTACAGATGTGGTCTCCTCACCTCAAAAAAGATATTTTGGTCTTGGAAAGAGTTCAGAAAAGGGCAACTAAAATGATTAGGGGTTTGGAATGGGTCCCATATGAGGAGAGGTTAAAGCGACTGGGACTTTTCAGTTTAGAAAAGAGGAGACTGAGGGGAGATATGATAGAGGTATATAAAATCATGAGTGGTATGGAGAGGGCAGATAAGAAAAATTACTCATTAGTTCCCATAATAGAAGAACTAGAGGACACCAAATGAAATTAATGGGTAGAAGGTTTAAAACTAATAAAAGAAAGTTCTTCTTCACACAGCGTGTAGTCAACCTGTGGAACTCCTTGCCAGAGGAGGCTGTGAAGGCTAGGACTATAACAGAGTTTAAAGAGAAGCTAGATAATTTCATGGAGGTTAGGTCCATAAAAGATTGTTAGTCAGGGGATAGAATTGGTGTCCCTGGCCTCTGTTTGTCAGAGGCTGGAGAGGGATGGCAGGAGGCAAATTGCTTGATCATTGTCTTCGGTCCACCCTCTCTAGGGCACCTGGTGCTGGCCACTGTCTGCAGACAGGATACTGGGTTAGATGGACCTTTGGTCTGACCCAGTATGGCCGTTCTTATGTTCTATTCCATCTCCCACCAAAAAGCCCCCCAGAATAAAACAAACCTGATGCAACCTATGGAGGGGATGGTAATCTCAAGAATACTGTTCAAAACAGTTAAATACAAAGAAGATAATATTCCAGGTGTAACCAGCACTGATCTACAATCTGTAGACAGAAATGTTCTGTTGGTTTGGATATAAACCTCCGAAGGGATTCAGGGCTGCTCTTACTGACCTCAGTGCAGTGCAGATTTGGGTCCGAAAGAAAGATAATGTGATTTGTACCACTTCTAAAGTTGCAAGAATTTATCAGGACCTATCTGTTTTTATATTTACAGTATTTTTTTGGAGTGGCAAAGGGCTCTATTTGTAAATGCACAACTGAGCCACTTGCCATGAGAATCTGTTCTGCACTAATACATTCTCTTGTGTTTGTGACATATCACCATATGCTGTATGTATGAAAGATAAAGCACACCCACCTTTCTACATGGCTATTTGGAGAGTTTCTATAAGGGATTCAGTTTTGTGAAGGAGAGCAGTGAGAGGATTATGAATATCAACCTTCTATCCTCCAGCTTGGTGAGAGATCTAACATAATATTTTCCAATATTTGTATTCAGAGCAGAAGATGCTTAGTATTAATAACAAGTGAGACGTACTTGGTTAGACTCTAGAGATAGGTGACGGTAGCACTGTTTTTATAACCAACCCTTATTTTTAAGGAGTTTCAGAAATTCTTAAATCAATCTGGGCTAAAATGTACAAGGTTTTAGCCTTAAGGGAATTTAAAAAAAAAGGATGGCTTGGACATTATAATCAGCATTATAATCTGCACTCCAAACATGCATGATTATATTTCCTTCTTAAACTGTAATTTGACCTCAGTTAAACTGAAGTGGGAGTTGTTGTGATGAGCTTCACTAATGTGCCCATGCACTATTTTAATACATTTTAGAGAGTAGATTAGAGTTGTCTATGTCCCACAGCTGGCTCATGTCAGCTAAGAGTTCAGAATGGTTTGAAGATGAGCATGACCCACACTTTAATGGCAAAGGGAAGAGGATGTGAAATTCTGCTTTCCCTTAACCCTTTTCAATAAGACATTCAGCTGGCACACCTGAAACTAAAGAATGTAACCTTGTGCCTGTGTATTTTTGTTTTCTTTTCCTTTATTACCTGATATGTAAACATTCATGTGTTCCTGTTCTCCCTCTCCTTCCTTCCCCCAGCTAACTCTTTTATATCTGTTTTTGGATGTGACCTTAAATGCAAGTCAAATAAATCTTTCCTTCATTATATAAGTTTTTTCCCCTCTCTCTATATATCTTATCTATATCTACATACACAGTGCTTTTTTTGTGACAGTACTGCCTGGTACGTAGTACTGGCACCTCGCGATGCAGTACTAGCACCTTCAGTCAGAGCTCAGCAACTTTTGCCCTGGAGTACTGGTAAAGTGAAGATTTGCTGAATGCTTCTGAAGACTTACAATGCCTATCCACTGAGATCTGTAGAAAAGTCTAGGTTCCTTTCAGAAGTCAACTACAGCATGTTAAACCTGTCATTTTCAAGCCATGAAGCAACTACATTGAACTAGAATAGGCATGTGCTTCCAGGGCTTTTTTAAGATAGTTTCTTTAAACGGATCACATTTGATGCGTGAAACTCACTGCCACTAGTTATTAGTGAGGTAAAAAGCTTAGCTATATTCAAAGAATTAAACATTCACATGAATAAGAAAATGGTAGTTAAATAAGACAGGATGACCCATTACGCTTCCGTATATAAACCAAACACTAGCAGAGGTTAAAATCTATGGATAGATTAGTAGTTAATAATTGTCTGGGAGCAGGGAAGGCTACACCTCTCTCAGAAACAGCCTTTGCTGGAAGAAACCAGATATCAGCCACTGAACTGCTTCAATGTTGCAATTCTTACCTCCCTCCCTCTCCCTGTTTCCTCTCTTCCAACCTCCTCCCTGCCAAACAAAACAAAACAAAAAACCAACCACTACACAAGTAGCTTTGCAGATGCTATACTCTAAAGCAGTGGTGGATATGGGGGCGGGGCCGCTCACAGGCCACGTGACTGGGGGCGGGGCCAAGCATGCGCCGCACGCCCAAGGTCAGCACCGGCATGTGCTGTGATCCCGGGCAGGGGCTGCCCAGGTTCCGTGCGGCGCCCCTGGGGCCAGGGCTAGTGCCAACTGAACCATAGCAGCCTTAATTGGATGCAGAGGGAGTACATGGCTCTCCCATTCAATGTTGTGTGCAATCAGCACGCACCTCACTTCCTGAGCCCATGCTTTGAGAACATGTCATTTTTGTAACATCGGTAGGAAAAAAAACCTATGTGGACAAAAATCAGCAGAATCTGGCAAACTTGTGCATGCACAACAGTAAACAATATGTCTTGTGGGCCACAGATAGAACCTTAACAAGTTACATGGGGGCTAGATGAACCACTGGCCTAATGCAGTAAACTAATTCTTACATGACTAAAAGTTAAGTAATATTAGGAGGATATATGCAAAAGAACTATTCTCACTGGATGAAAGTTTAATATTAAAGATTTTAAGAGGAGAATTTTTTTTCATCTTATTTGTAGAGATTTCTCTACCTCAAAAAGTTGAAGTTGGCCATAATGGAAATTTAGGTCCTGATCCTACACTCTGTGCCAGCACTGTAGTCCACTCACCCAAATTTCACAAGCAATGGTGGAGAGGCTCCTGTTCTGTGCTCTTGGTTTAGAGCTATGGGTCAATTCACACTTACGTGCTATAACTTATTGCCAAGATATTTATTCAACCTGCCGTTTAGGTGAATCTGCCACATGAAACATAGTTTTGCCTGAGAATGTGATTAAAAACCTTTCACAGAGAGCCTGAGGCACTCCTTTTAATGGTGGACAGTCTACCTCAGCGAGCACTACAGACCCCTTCAAACCAAACATTATACAGAAATAGATTAATGAAATAGTGGCCAGAGCTATCCAGTTTAAGAGAATGCATGTTTTAGAGGTTAAATCAGAACAGTCTTCATATCTGTACACTGTGAATAATGCTTATCTGAATTATGACAAATGCCCCCTCACATGGAATACTGAAAATTATTTGATATTTCTAAAACATTAATATTTTCCTGTTGAATATTGGATTACTGTGAGAACCCCATTAGCTGTAGGCCTGCTCAGAGTTGTTTGATAAGGAATAGAAGCACTTAGTATATCATTTTCTTATTTAATATTGCTCCAGTTTCCTTTCCACTAGACCATTAGACCAGTGTTTCAGGGCTCCGCGAGGTTGACAAACTGGAAACATCGATAGGTATAACACATACAATCAGTGGACCGCTGGGGCTCCGCATACATTTTTATGCATGTAAAGGGCTCCGGAGCCCAAAATGTTTGAGAACCACTGCACTAGATATTCTCGTTGAAGTACCTCTAGTAGGGATGCCAGATGGTTTCAGAAAAAATACCAAACAAAAACATGCCAGGAAAAAAAAGGGGGGCCTCCAAGAGTTGTTAAGCAAAAAGAAGAAACAACACCACGGCCCCTTTAAAAACCACATGGTGAGGCTTTTTGGCCTTAACAGGCTGCCAGCTGCCACCTGCCATCTTGTCTCCCTGCACCGAGCTGGAGATCTCCCCCGCGAAACCCAGTAAGCACTGTAACCGTACCGGACTCAAACCGGTGTAACAGAATGACACGGATGCCCGAAGGAGGATTTACCAGACTTTTATTAATCAGCGCTGATGGTCGTCCCCTCGAGCTTTATAGCAAAAAAAATGGCGAGGAGCGACCCCGTGCCGCTCTGTGCATAGCTTTTTATCGGATACATGAATAACAGTTTGATTGGCTTTTACATTTCATTGGTTAAAGCACAGCAATACATTATTTCTAACGTTCACGATTGGCATTCGAGTAGTTGCCTATGTGCGGTTTTACTTTCTCATAGCTATGTTGCTGATTTCTGCCTGCTTGTGCCTGTCACAAGTTAGAAAATGTGAAATACAGCTTCATTCTTGCTCGACAGGCTAGTGGGCCCCTAACTGCTGTTAGGCTAGTTCCTTATCTTTTTCGGGTAAGGGGCAAATTCCACTACATTCCCCCCTCAAGAGCCTTACTTGTCAGGCTCTTCATCCTTTAAGGGCAGTCTGCTGGTATAGAGTGCCATTATGTGAGGACTTGTTTGTTGGGATACAATTTGGGACACCATTCGCCGTACGCATGCAATGAACAAAGGAATAAGGCAGGGCAATATGCAGACTAAAATTCCTATAAACACTAGCCATCCGAGTATGGCCTTGACCCACCCCATACTTGGTAGCCAAGAGGTAAGCCAGGAGGTGTCAAGGCCTGTCCATGTTTGGACTGGCACGTGGGCTAAGTTTTGCATTTTTTGTGTGATTTCCGCTATTGCATTTTGTGTATCCCCAATTTCAAGGCAGCAATTAGATA